TGGCTTAAAGACCCACTGAAGAAAAAAAATGAAGGACCTAGAAGACTTGAGAAGGAAGTTAACACCAAATTAAATCGAAGAGGACAACAAACAATGAGTAACCCCAAGGAATCTGACGGTGAGTACGAAGAAGCCTATTTTTTTAAGAACATAGGTATAGGAGTCTGCTGGATATACGCTCGCCGAAAAGACGAACTCAGTTCTCTCGCCCTGGAGTTTGGTTTTAAAGCCGACGGTACCGTCGAGGAGACCAGGAAGGCATTCGCCCACCTCGTCAACACAGGGTCGTTGCAGGAGCAGGAGCAATATAGCAGCCGGGCCCCAAGTCCGAACCCTCCAGGCAGGAACGGTGAGACGGGACAACTCTCGGAATCCCTGAGCATTTCCATGACTTCCGGAGCTACATCGATCGGGACTCCGCCCAGGATCGACGCACGGTACCTGGATGCCACCGGTAGACGCCCGCTTACCTGCCGATCTACAAGGGCGAGACACATGGAGCAGCTCCCACTCAACATCTGCTCCCCGAGAAGATGCACAAATGGAATTTACGGTTCAATGGGAGTTCGGATCCGTTGACTCTCATCGCCGCGCTCGAGGAAAAGATGACGACGTACAGGATAAATCCAGAGTAGGTACCCCACGTTATGTCCGAAATTTTGGAGGGCACAGCGGTACGGTGGTTTCGCACGAGCCAGCTACAGTCGGCCTCATGGGGAACCTTCAGAAGGGAATTCCTCGACTTTTTTCCTACCACCTCGATATTTCGAGCGGTTGGAAGATGAGATACGGACCCACGTGCAGCGGAAAGGAGAGCCTTTCAAGACCTTCTTGATCGAGCTTAGAACCAAGATGCAGCAAACCGGTTGTCGAGAAGAGGAAGAATTGTACCGGGCATACGAAAACTTGGCTCCAGAATACCGACTGTATAATAAACACAGTGAATTCGTGAACTTGACACAGTTGACCCATATGGCCAGAGAATATGAGAGTGTCAAACAACTCGAGACGACTCGGCGCGAGCCAAGAGCAACCATGGACAGGAACCAAGAAGAACCTCAACTTCGCCGATCGCCGAACCCATTCCGGAATCCGGTGAATACAACGCAGACGGGACACCTGACCCACCAGATGATCGGTCAAGGAACCTCTCGAGTGGACATACGGCTGGCTTGTAATCGCTGTGGAGAGAACGGACATCTCCAATGGAACTGCCCCAACCCACGTCGGGATTTATGTTGGGACTGTGGGCGACCAGGAGTTTTAACTATAGAATGTTGCCGTCGAAATGTGTCGGGAAACGCCTCCGCCGGAACCCGGGTGCGGCGGAGACGAACGGAGCAGCAACCCGACCCCAGTAAAACCCCCCGTTAAGGTTACACGGCGGGCTCATCACAGCAGCGATAGAAGTCGGAGGACAACGGGTGGACGCCACCATTGATACAGGGGAATCGAGGAGATTCGTCAGTGAAAGTTTTACTCGACTGGCCGCGAGTGCAGGCGAGTTACAGGATGTTATCACTAGAATAGCGTTGGCCGACCGGTCATGTCTGGATGTGACGAAGCTCTAGCGAACCTCGGTTACGTTGGCCGGCAATACGGTGCTCTTACCTATGTTAGTAATGCCCACCATGTTAGATCGTGTAATACTTGGGATGGACTTCCTCAAAGTAGCGGGAACTCAGGTGCGATGTGGTCGAGCTACCCTTGGATTGCAAAATGAAGCCCAAGCGGCAGGAGACCCTCTCTTACAGCCAGTACTTATAAAGGCGCGGAGCAGCCAGGAGGAAACGGTACGCCCTGTTGCGGTTGGGGCCCATTTGGGAACTGCCAGGCGACTAACAGCGACAGAGCACACTATTGAGTCCGGCGCAACAAAGCTTCATCGATCGGGAACTGGCCTTATTCGAGAAGCTGTATGGGGTGTCTCACGTCGCCGAGCACACTATCGTCATGCGCGACGATAAGCCCGTAAAGCAAAGGTATTATCCCCGGAACTACGCGATGCAACATGTTATCGATGCCCAAGTAGACGAACTGCTCCGTGACGGGGCCATCGAACCTTCCAGAAGCCCGCACAGCGCTCCCATCGTATTGCTCAAGAAGAAGACTGGCGATTGACGCATGTGTGTAGACTACCGTCAGTTAAACGCACACTCAGTGCCCGACGCCTACCCAGTCCCGAGAATCAATCACATTCTGGAGAAATTACGTCACGCCCGATATATCTCCACGTTGGACTTGAAGCACGGCTATTGGCAAATTCCCATGGCTAGGGATAGTCGCCAATATACAGCATTCACGGTTCCTGGGAGAGGATTGTATCAATGGAAGGTTATGCCCTTCGGGCTGCATTCTGCCAGTGCCACGTTTCAACGCGCTCTAGCTAGTGTGTTCGGTGTGGAGATGGAACCGGTCGCCTTCGCTTACCTAGACGTCAGGTAAACAGTACTTCGCTCATCTTTTGGAAGTTTTCCGCAGATTGCGGGCGGCGAACTTAAGGATAAATCCAAAGAAGTGTTGCTTCTTCAAGCAGAAACTCGTTTACCTCGGCCACGTCATCAGCAGCGACGGAATTCAGACTGATCCCGAGAAGGTGTCTGCGATCAACGGGTTAAAGGCCCCCTCTAACTTAAAGGAACTCCGTCAATGGATCGGGATGGCCTCGTGGTATCGGCGATTTGTCCCTAGTTTCGCGACTATCGTGCAGCCGATGACTGCGCTACTAAAGAAAGGACGGAAGTGGACCTGGGGACCAGAACAGCAAGCCGCCTTGGAGGAAATTAAAAGATGCCTGACTACTGCTCCCGTCTTAGGCTGTCCGGATTTCGACCATAAGTTCATTTTGCAAACAGACGCTAGTGGGCACCGAAAGTCAAGAGAAGGTCATCGCATACGCTAGCCGCCGACTAACCCCCTCGGAACAGAACTACACTACCACGGAGAAAGAGTGTCTGGCCATAATCTGGGCAATCAGGAAGATGCGGTGCTACCTGGAAGGGTACCGATTCGAGGCCGTTACTGACCATCTAGCTCTCAAGTGGCTAAATTCTATTGAGAGCCCTTTCGGCCGAATAGCGCGTTGGGCGTTAGAATTGCAGCAATTCCAATTCGACGTACGCTATCGACGAGTTAAATTGAACGTCGTGGACAGCGGTGGGACGGGGCCGTAGATCTCCAGCACTTCCCCAACTGTGCTCATCCGATCGACCAACTCACCGAATGGGAAGATCACTTGCTCGACCAGGTCCTAATGGATATTTCGGAGATCGATTCGACCGAATTCGCCGCCAGGTATACCCAACCAAGTGCTGCGATGACGGGCGAAGTAAACGCCGTACCGACTTCCGCATTGGAGTTGGCGGAATCCGCAGTAGGGGAGGATGATCTCAGCCCATTGCCGGAGGGCTGGATTGGTAGCAGCGGTTTGCGTTACCTACCTAGACATATTGTCCAGGAGATCAAGAGGAAGGTAGCAGCCCGGGCCGGCCGCGGACGCCGAGTCCGGAAAGCCATAGGAGGCGACGGACTCCGGTTCATCGTCACTATCAAGAGTGACGGGCGCCTCTTTATCGCCCCACGGGAAGAAAGGGGGGGTGTAACGTACACACCTAGACGGTGTACGATACAATTGTTAGTAGGATGTAAGGTTATAGGAGTAAGCGACTTATCATGAATAATAAATATTAAGTTAGTAGTATGTAAGGTTATAGGTGTAAGCGACGCATAATGGATAATAAATATTAAGTTGAAACCGAATATTAAGCCGTAATTAAGTTTCAAACCCGAGTGGCAGCGCCAGCCGATATTTAGTGAGTAATAGAAAATACTTGGAATTAAGGAATATACTAGAAATCCCTAAAGCGAGAAAAAGGGAGCGTGGGAAAGGTGGTCATACACCGATCGAGCGAGGGTTCTCTTGTGTCGGAATGGTAAGAGGGGCCGACGTGTCTCCCGCAGTGACTTTCCGTGTAATCCGAGTAACGCCTCGACCGCGCGACGGCACGCGACCAGTGAATAAGTGAGCTGATCAGTGTTTTGAGGTTAGTGTGTATAACATTCCTCCCCTGTAAGTAAAGACGGTGTAGCGGACTCTTAGGAGGGTATTAGATAAATAAAAATAATCTAGAAAAAATAAAGAGAAGAAGTAAAAGTGAAATCCCTCGTTTGTGATTCTTGTATTCGTAGTCGACCAGTAGCTTCTCTCCTCGTAGTGCATGTGACCTGTATGCGGACATCCGTCCCGTCTGGTCTAGTATCCTAGCTTCCCTCCCCGTAGTATTTGAGACCTGTACTTGGACACCCGGCCCGTCTGGTCTAGTATCTTAGCCTCCCACACCGTAGTATTTGAAACCCGCACGTGGACGCCCGTCCCGTCTGGTCTAGCATCTTAGATTCCCGTCCAGTCTGGTCTAGTACCATAGCTTTCCTCCTCGGACATCATTCCCGACTGGTCAATCATACCGGCATCATTTTCCCTTCAATCCTCCCATGTCCGACAAATTCTACCCGGCTTGGCCTCGCCCGAAAGTCCAGTCCGCTGGATTTTTGGCCTCCGATACGTCGTTAACAACTTGCGCGTGACGTCACCCGCCGGCCCCACTCTCGCGAAATAGTGTCCTGGCTTGGCCTCGCCCGAGCGTCCAGCTCGGTGGATTTTTGGCCTCCGGCACGCGGAAAACGACTTACGTGTCCCAATCGCGGAAGTGACCAGTGGGATCACCCGGCGTTCCCACCCTCGTGAAATCGTTCGCCTGGCTTGGCCTCGCCCCAAGGTCCAGCCCGTGGGATTTTTAAGTCCGGAGCAAGGTACGGCGCGATCAACTCCGACATTACTCTCTCTCTCCTGGCGTCCATGAGAACCTTCGGCGTGACCCCCCAAACGACTCATTCACTCGTTGAATGAAACTCTCTTGTCCGGTGTTTCGGTGATTTACAAATTTCTTATAAAGGACTCCTGGATCTGACTGAGATATGTACCCCGGCCGGAGAGCATCCTTACAATCTTGCAGAAAATTAAATGTAAACAAACGGCCGAAATATTTGTGTAAGTTACTTTGGGCGGGGACATGAGCCGATCCTAATCCACCAGGAATAGACTCCGTTCTGCCGGAGATAGGGTGTGCCTCCAACATTAGCTTTGGGGCACCCAAGGAAGGGTGGTTGCGTCGTGGCAATAACACCCAAGCCACCAATTTCGTGGATCACGGGTTCCGTGACTGCGCAGCGACAGAACGCAGACTGTTCAGCTACCGATATGGAAAGCCAGACACCGTGTCTCCCAAATGTCTGGGTTGTGCGGAAAACGGTCGACTGGGCGATCCGAAGGCGGAGGATGCGTCCAGACAAGAGTCCCGCAAAGAAGAAGAGTCGGTAGGTTTAAATAAATGTTTACTTTCTTAGAATAGTAATAGGTCCAAATTACAATACTTACCCGATGCGGAGAGGATGCGACGGTACCTAGAGGTGGGATGCGTATGGTGTCTCGCAAGGTTTAGAAGGCCAGGGATCGATTTCGACGCGAAGCAGTGGCCGCCGTGAAGCGGAGTTTATCGCGAGATCCCAGACCATTCGCCGCAGTCCGAGTCCGGACCAAGCAACTGATGGTGTTGTTGTACTTTGGAGCGAGTGTTAGTCTGCTTGGTAAAGGTGGCAGAGAGCTGGTAGAGGTATTAGATGTGCGCGTTGAGAAGTACCTATCCGCAGTCCGAACGGCTTCTGGAGAGGATCGGTCGATTATAGGACGGGTCAAGCTACCTGGACGGACAGAGCACATTCTCTTTTATTTATATCCTTACCTGGAGCAGCCAGCTTATTTTGGAGTGGATTTTTAGCAAGCGTTCGGACTGGTTCCAGCAATAATAGGCCACATCGCTTCCGAAAGCTTGAAGAAGGCCGAAGAAATACACGCTAGGGAGATGGAGCACTACGCTGAGGTCGAGGATGACGACGAGGAGAAAGCCGATCCCGAGTCCTGGACGTTTTCCAAGGCCGATGAACAAGAGCTGGAGGAGATCAAGAAGCAGTTCGTGACTTTCGAGAGGGATGGCTTAGGTACCACCAGTCTGTAGAAGCACATGATTGAGCTGATTGAACGAGCCAAAGTGTTCAACGATCGACCCTATCCGATGTCTCCGCGAAGCAGAAGGTGGTCGAGGACGAGGTCGACAAGATGCTAGCGTTCGGAGTCGTCGAGTAAAAGCGCCTGGAGCAACCGCATCACCGTAGTGTCAAGGTCTGGAATTGGCCATTAGAGATGCTTACCCGTTGCCCAGCTAGACGGCATCCTGTCCAGAATCGACCAAACGTATTACATTTCCAGCTTTCAGGCAGATTGAGTTGGACACGAACAGCAAGGAAAACACAGCACTTACGGTTCCTGGTCTGTCTGTTTACCAGTTCCGTGTGATGCCTTTTGGACTGTGTAACGCATCACAGAGGCTGGTGAGACTCATGGACCGAGTGATTCCAGCTGAGATCCAGGGCGTGTATCAGCTATTAGGAGAATGCCTGAGCCAAGGACCATGAAGGAAATGAGAGCCGTTCTTGGAACCGGTGGTTGGTACCGTCGGTTTATAAAGAACTTCGCGACGTTGGCAGCTCCGCTTACGGAATCCTTGAAGAGGACTGGAAATAAAAAGTTTTCCTTGAGTCCAGAAGCAAAGCTGGCAGTGGAGTCCTTGAAAATGGCCCTTGCAACTGCGCCAGTTTTGGTACATGCTGACTTCAAGCGGCACTTTTTCATCCAGTGCGATGCATCCCAGATCGGAGTCGGTGAAGTGTTGTTCCAGCGGGATGAAGTCGGCCAGGAGCAGCCAATAGCGTTAGTTTCGGCCTAGATGAATCGTCACCAAGTTCACTACACCGTTACCGAAAGAGAATGTCTCGCGGCCCTACTGGCCATTCGAAAGTTCCGGCCGTAAGTTGATGGAATGCCGTTTACGTGCATCACGGATAATGCCAGCTTAAAGTGGCTTATGTCTATGAAAAACCTTTGGGGTCGGCTGGCTCGGTGGTCATTGCAGCTCCAGGGATTTCACTCCAACATCGACCACAGGAAGCGAGAACGTCGTGGCATATACCCTTTCGTGTTGTGTTTGAGAGCTAACGGTGGACCCGTCACAGTTGGTCGGCTTCGAGACCACCGAGTTTACTGGGGAAAAATACACGGAGTTGTTACAAGTAGAAAAAAACTTGGTCAACTTACCTGATTTGGGGATAGTGGACGGTCTCATCTTCAAGAGAGTCTTCTTCAAATCTGGATGATTGAAGGCTTCGTATGGAAATTGTGGATTCCCCAGAGTCCGATCCACAGCAGAATTGTGCGTGCACATTCGGATCCAACGGCAGCTTATGGCCATGCAAGAGTTATCGGCACCAAATGTAGTGGAGTTCCTCATTCACGGGGTTTTCTTTAAGTTCGGAATTCCATAAATAGTGCATTCGGACAACGGCCGCCAGATTATGTCCAAGATCTTCGAGGAGGCGATGGTATTGGTATTACGCACATTAAGACGCCAGTCCACTCTCCGCAAAGCAACGCAGTTGAAAGGGTAAACCAAAGCGTGTTGGCGGCGATCCGAAGCTATTTAGAAGAAGACCATCGAGAATGGGACGCGTATCTTCCGGAGATTGAGGTGTGTAACGAGCAACGTTGAGCTGATGGTATTGCAAACTGTTAGCCCTGCACGCGTTTAAATCCGGCTCTAACTCGTCAGCGAATGTCGTGGTGTTCTTGAGAGGCTGCAGCTTACGGGTGCTCTTGAATATCTTTAACAATTAAAATGTATCGCGTGCAAACAGGCAACGAGCCAATATCGGCCGGAAAAGAGATAGCATAACAAACAGACATATAGAAATAGCACTTCTCACATTACACGCCCCTAGATGTAAATGGGGTGTTATCAGCCCAATAAAATACTGCATCAGGCCCCTTTAAATAATTGATTTCACGACGGCTCTCGGGTCAGCACGGAGTTAAAATATGATTGTTTACTCAGACATTATAATCATTGTTTATTTACTAAATATAAAAGGGAAAGATATAGACTTCATTTAAAATTAGATATTTTTGTACACAGGTATTGTTTAAAACTAGCATGCATAATCCTTAATAAAACTTTAAATTTTCATAACTTCATATATCGTGCGATCTCAATTACGGTAACTAAAGGATAATAAAATATATTTAAATTTAATATTACAAATTTACACTTTTTTTTCCTATTTGTTTCATAAGAAAAATTATCGTTAGCATTCAGACATTTTATTTAGTATTTATTTACTTTACATTTTATTTAGTATTACTTTACACTCGATCACTTAATTGCGTAATAAAATTTCGGATAACTCTCAAGGGTATAAAATTGTCAAACTTGGCTCACCTGAGATATCCCACTAATGAAAGCGCTTCAATATGTTGGTGGTGTTGCTCAAAAATTGTAAACAAATGCAAACCAAAGAAGTTCGGCAATTATTACCTTATCGGCTCATACGTCTGCACATATTTAACGTGACCGAAATTTGCATACACATCCCTTGAATTTTACATGTTCTTACTCTTTGCCTATACTCGCATCTTTTTACTCTATTTATATCTAACGATGAAAAAACTTTCGAACCTCTTGTTCTCTCCTTATGTTCAACTAATTCTCATTTTCATATTCATATTTCGTTTAACATTTTAACTTACTCATATTTTTATTGATTTTACTTAATAGAACTTAGCCTTATCTTATACGATTTCTTTGTCTTCATTGAGTTTTATGTATTTACTTGGCGATTTCAAATGTAGTACACTTTATTTGCGTAAACAACTGGGATTGCTTTTATTTTGGTGTTTACATTTAGGTTTGCGTTTACTTTTACATGCATTCAGCTCACTTTAACCCGTGTTTTTTTTTTTTGTTTACTTTTATATGTGTATATAGCTTGCGTTTACTTTTATATACGCGTTTTGCTTTGCGTTTACTTTACTACTACTTTTAAGCACTATTCTGACCTAGTTTTAGTCACTTCACTATGGGAATTACTACTTTAGGCGATATTTGTTGATTAGCTGAGCACAGACGAATTTATAAACACTTTTTGGTATGCACTTTAATTAGTTCGACAGACGTATGATACCAAAAAAAAATGCACTGTACACTATTGCGGCATGCTGTTGGCGCTGGTTATGTTGAGCTCCTGATGGGGTTTCCTTATCCTCGTTGCACCGGGGTTTAGTTGAAGACGTTGGCGAACTGAACTGCCTTTTTGGGGCAGAAATGACTGATGATACGATCGCCGGCGGTACTCGGCGACGAAAGGGCATGTAAGAATGCCGTCCCCTATGTCAAATAAAACGCCTGAATGAGGGAATATTCACTTGCACCGGTTATAGGTTATGACTTACCCGTGAGGGGGTAGTAATTAACCGTTTTGGCCAGAATCTGGCCAAGAATTGGTTCACTGCGACTGTAACACCTTATGCCGTGCAAAAATTTGTGCAGTGGTGAGCTGTGAAAGTCTTGATCGGCCACAACCTCTTTACTTTTAGTTGTATTATCGCTGTTGTTATGCCAGCTATACAACCGCTCAGGTCGAGAGTCAGATTAAGAAGAAATCATGAGGTTTTCGAGGGCGGATATTACAAGATGGGTTACAACCGGGATTAGAGCTGGGGTTTCGCTAAAAACCTTAACGCTAATGCAGTCCTACCTATTGACGATTAATCTTCCACTTTAAGGTTGCCATTTACAGCCTATACCGCCCGCTAGGTGGCGCAACTAAACATACGATATGTCTTTCTATACTCCACTACAGGTGCCCATCCGCAACGCGATTCATTACGCAACCGGAGAAGCTCCGTTCTTCACCTTATTCAGATGACACATCTTCCTGAACGGAGCCAGCTTCAAGTTGGCAAGGATGTTGAAGTCGCTGTGTGATCACGAAATGGCGGGGATCAGAACGTTTGATAAACTCCAAGTGATCCATGACAAGGTGCTGAAGAACCTCGAAAATGCATACGATCGGAGACGCCTGCGGTACGACAAAAGGTCTCGTACTTTCCTTGCTCGGACCACTAACCATACAACATATAGACTGGTCATTTCATACAAGGCATTTGGACGCAAAAAAACGGATCACGGGAGGCCCGCCGTGCTCACAGCAACAGGCCCCTGCACTTCGTGTGCGTTCGGGTTTTTTGCTCTCTCATTCTTATTCTCATTTTTATGCTCGCGCACTCATTGCACGAGTTCAGTCGTTCAGTCGCAGAGAGGCGCTTTTTGTAGAAGGCTGCCGTGCGCTTGAATTCGTCTTTGTATGTATGCGTGATCATGCATTCTCATACACGGGAGCATGTGTGCATTTATTTCATTTCGGCGCACCAATATTTTGTCTTTTGCCATTTTTTAAACTTGGTACCCTAAGAATATAGGCGTATTTACTATTGGGTTATGATAAAAATATATTTTTTCTGTTTAAGGTTCGATCGTCATGACTTTTTTACCTCGTTAAGAGGTGTTTTTGTTAGATATCAAACGTTTTTATTTGAAAGTACCACAATATTATTGCATGATTAAAAAAAAACGTTTAGCTTTACGTCAGTACTTTAGAAACTACGTTTGGCAAGTCTTTAAAGCTTAACAAGAAAGGAAGCAAACTTTGGCAAACCGACCTACCTAACGACCTGCATGAAAAATTATTCCGGAGCTCTTTGAGAAGTCCTTAAAGTTTGAAATTGTCAAACAGACACGGACAAATTTTCGTTTTGAGATAACCAAAAATAAGTATTTTTGAATAACTTTTGATCGGAGCAACGGGTCCAAGTAAATTGGGTGTCACTCCACTTTAAAAAAAATTTCACCGCCCTTTCTCCTGAACCAATTACTTTTGCTTAAGTCTTCGACAACAATCCCGATTCAATTAGCGATACCCTTACTCGTTACGATCGGACCATCACAGCAGATTTTGAATTCTGGCTCCTATGCACATGCTCTTGGTGCTCATCGTCACTACATGTACTGCCGTCCATAGTGACACAAAAGTAAACCGCGACCACACGCGGTCGAAATAGAAAGCAGAAACAACTTAGGTTCTTTTTTCAACGCTATGCAGTTGCTCGCAGACAACTATCGCGTTCAGCTGACAGTCGGCGTTGCCATATTAATCTTTATTTCCAACGTTTATATTGAAGATTTATTTTTTTTTTTTCACCTACATACATATGTGGGTTTTTGCCAATTACCTTGAGTTGATTTTTTTCTAAATCTGTAATACTCACCGTACGACTATAAAAAGTATATTCATGTTATATTATATTTTATCAGTTCAAAAAAATGTATTTATCTCATTCGAGTCAAGAGCAACTATGGCCTCTTCATGCTTTATATTCGTCTATGAATTATTTTAATTAATGTTGTCTACATTAAGTGAGGTTTATATATAGGGCCATTCGTTCTGAGCCTAAGCAACGGAATGCAGAGAGTATAATATATATATTTATTAAGTTTGCGTAAAGCCGTTAAAAAAACCACCAGAACCAAAAGACACAAGTTAACTAAAGTTTAAGACAGCTTCAGAACAACTTTTCTGCAAACAGAACTTGGCATCGTGGCGATATCTTTTCATCAAACAATGTCTCATATCGCACCTGAACAGTAAGTTTCTGGTTTTCTGCCGCTTCCTTCAAGAAACACAAACGGTCAAATAACACTACGTTTTCACATAGTTTCTATGGAAAGGTAAAAAGGTATAACAGTTATCATTATAAACATGTAAGGAAGCAAACTTCGACAAGCCGAAGTTTATATACCCTTGCAGGTAATTCTTGAAATTTTCGTTTTATATGCGTATATGTTTAAAAACATATAAGTGGTGATTTTCAGCTTAATTATGCTATCGTTTCTATGGCAGCTATATGATATCGTTTTCCGGTTTAAATTAAAATAAAACGTAAATCTGAACTATCAAATTAATAATATTTCCAAAACAATTTTTTAAAAATTCAAAAATAGAGAAGTTTAATTATTTTTAAAATGTATTTTTATTAATATTGTGATTGTTTCTATGGAAGCTATATGAATATGAATTATACGGTTATTCTAAATTATTTAACTATTACTTCATCTCGAATAACTAAAAAAAATTAACAACAGCAAATTTATAATTTACCTGCCTACCTGCAACAGAAAGACAACTTTTGGGAAAGTTTTATGCAGATACGCTAAAAAAAACGGAGACTAGTTTGCGTAGAAACGGACGGACGGACAGACGGACATGGCTAGATCGACTCCCCCAGTGATCAAGAATATATCTACTTTAAAGGGTCGGAGATGACTCCTCTCACTGAGATAATACCCTCTGCAAGGGTAAAAAAAAACATTTATAATATTCCTAAAACTTACCTGCATTGCTGCTTGCAAGCATGTTAAGCCTTCGACCAACATAGAACCCTCTTTGTCGGTATACATAGTGCTTATCTCAAAAAACATCTTTTCGTGGGAAGGCTGCCACTCCACCGACTCACCAGATTCTTTTGAAAGTAACTGAAACCTTCTCTTTATTTCAAAAAAGTCTATTGGGTAGCTGGCCACTGGGAATTGACTCTTTCTTGGCTTTACAAATTCTGTTGAGTTAAGGATAGCCTCAGCCAGCGCTCGCATGTACATGCGGTATCCGTGCTCCTTATGTGCGCCTTCGGTGCAATCTCGCCACCAGTGAGAAGTGGAACGTTGGCACGCCAGTCTAAGAAACGGTCTATTTAAGAATGGGTTTTTAAAACTTTTTTTTACAGACTTTCCTAACGCAGCGCTAAGCGGAAAGTTAGTAAATGATTTTTCATCGCTGTCTCCGCCATGATTAACGACTTCAATCTTGTGGTAGCAGCAGGGCATAATGTGAAGGCACTGAACTCGGGGCATTTTTAAAAATAAGTGCAGTGCATTTATGCTTAAATCCCCACAGGCATGCAAGCCAATTATTGAAATTGTTTTACGATCTAAAGAACCGTTATTCCTAGCAAGTTCTGAAGTCTGCTCATCTATATAAGATCCGGAGTCAAAGCTAACGAATTTTTGCAAATATCGAATTGAGTTTATGGCATCCGGTGGCAAGCAACGAAGACATCTTTGACGAGCCTGCTCCACGCGTGCCATATCGGCTTCCAAGCCTAGTATAAGGCAATCAGGTTTAAGTCCGTAAAGGGCATGGCTTAGGTAACCCAATCCTGCTCCCAAGTCAACTAACACTTGTGTATTTGCACAATGGTCGTGTATGTGAGCTGCAAGTTGTTTGATTTCCTGTGTTTTCTTAGTCGACAGCCCCTTGTGGTTTCTATTATTCCTGATTACGTCGAAAATTTTAGGCGAATTAAGGTTTGGCGTTAAAATGGACAATTGTTGTCTGAAACTACAAAGCTCTGATGGGTAATCGCTTATATTTTCGTGAATATAAGGAAATGCATTAAGTTTTTCATTAGATATTTCCAGAAAATATTTTTTGAATTCAGGCGGCATAATGTTAATAGAAGGTATACAAGCTACATTGGCTTCGCGATAAATCCACGAGTATGAGCATAGAAATTCTACTACGGTGTCAAAGTATGTCTCTGAGTTTCGGAAAGAGCTAGGCATTGACATATCTAAAATAGATACAATTAAATTTGATTTACCTAACTAAAAGATATATTATACAAACTAAATATTAAGTACTGGGTACCAGCGGTTCCGCCACAGAATTCTAGTTCAGGTCTCCGTGGCTGTCATCCGTACGAACAAGTCTTTCAACAAGTCTTTCCTTTTATAAATACTAAAATGATTTACATAGGTAAGTTGCGGCTGAATAAGCAAATTCTAGTGAAATTTGTAACTCTGCTAACCACCCACTTTTTATATATATAAATTGGTTATGGCCTCCATTCCTTTGCCTTTTATAGCCCAGTCGCACAGAGCCCATCCAAGTGAAACGGCTGGGATTTTTAGATGTGAAACCCGTGTTTCGACAGAGCAAACATTCGCGTTCCACAACCTCCATTCAAAAACAGACATTAACAATCACTGTTAAATTTTTGAAATAAATTTTTAATTTTTTGTTAAAAAAAAACTAATTCTCCTCTCTCATATTTTATGAAATGCTGAATGTTTAAATTATGGCTTACATATATGTTATATCGCATATAAATTTCTGCCTGGGAGAACGTCAACCTCCCAAACCCCATTTTTCAATTACATCTCTGGTTCACAGATATTAAGAAGGTGGACATGAAAATTTAAAAATTTCAAATTCGCGTCATGGTTTTAGGTCTGCACAAAAAATACGTCGGCTAGGTAATGACCAGAAACGAGCGGTAAGGAACGTTAAGTGTCCATCTAGGACTAACTGGGAAATTTTTGGCGCGTGGATGGTGCTCTGTGCCACAAATTTTATTGCGGGTAGCTCGTTAAGGATTGCCATAGTCCAAGTCAGAAATCTCCGCCGCGGTTCAATTTTAAGGAATTACTGTGCGGCCCAATTATGCTCGCTATTTGATGAAAACCCTAAAAGACCAGTCCCTCGGAACCCATATAAGCGAAACGCCTGGGATTTTTTATGGTTTGCGAATTGGTGTTCCCACAGAGCCACCTTCCACCATCCGCCATCCATCAAAACCCACAGTGGCATATGCAGAATTTTCGAGGAGGTCTTTAACTCAATCAAATTTTTTTTAAAGTAATTTTTCCGGCTTTTATTTTATTTAAATGCTATGGTTTAGTGGTGAAATGGCTATTTGCTTATATATACCTTGTACTCAAATTGATGGCTGGGGGAGCGTTAACCTCCCAAGAGAAGTATCCTACTTCTCTTCACTGACTACATGTATTAGTTTGTATATTTCCATTATATAAAAGAATAATCAGCTGTTATATAGTTGCCAAACTGGCAACTCTGCAAAATGTTAAATATCGGTACTGATCGCACCTACTCAGCAGCTCTGAACTTGCCAACCAGCGACAACGAGGCAGAACAAGCAGCAGCAGCGATTAAAGTGTCGATAAGTGGCGCTGATATCGATGTCAACAAGGGTGTTAAGCAACGGCAAATGATAGATGTAAGCAAAGGACTTCAGTGGACAAACATTTCACATTCTTTCGCCAAAGAAATCATTATGGACTATGATGGATCGTCGTGCGCAAGCATTTGGACTCAGCAAGTACAAAACATTGCTGAAATGTACAACCTGAATGCAGTGTGCGTGAAAATAGTGATTGTGTCCAAACTGAAGGGCATCGCCCAGCGTTGGTTGCACTCAAATGCAACGCGCATCATAGAGCCAGTAGAAAATCTGTTGGAACAACTGATTTTAGCATTCAGCGATAAATTTTCTAAAGCAGAAGTGGTAACTGCAACGCCAGAGGACACACCGCCAAGGATTGTCGAAAGCAAGCGAGGGAGCCAGAATCATGCTATGGTTGTGGCAAAGAAAAAAAACGGCAAATGTACAAATGCTTCTAGGAATCGAAGATTTTGAAACCGAAATACTGAACATTGACTTTACAAACGATGAAATCATCAAATCAAAAGAACAACTTATCAAATACAATGTCGATTCTTAAAAATAATAGAAAACAGCTATGTATGTTTAAGCAATTATATTCCCTTTTCGAAGTAGACGAACAATTTAACCTTTTACAAACAACCTTTTACAACCTTTATTTGTTATTTATATAACTGTCTCGTACCTGTTCATAGCAAAGTTATTCGTTTTCCTGAATTACCATTGTTTCAAAGAAACATCAAAGACGCAATATTACAGCGTGACGGGACCTATAATAAGTGGAGAAGGTACAGGACCCCTCCAGCTTACGCGGTGTTCAAGTGACCCAACTTACTGATACCGCCAAGACAAATTTTTATTCCCGTAAACTCACGACGCATCTTCCACAAGATATATAAAAACCTGTGAATATGAAAAGTTAAACCAAGCCTTGAGCAAGACATAAATGTTAATGAACTTAATAAATAGTTCTTAAACTGCACAGTACCTGAAATCACTGAAAATAAATATCTGAACCCACGAATTGTACCTGAAACTATCTGTGATATTAGATTTAGGTTTATGTGTGTTAATCAGTGTGATGTCCTTCAAAGTATACTACAAATTACGAGTGACGCCACTGGGCCTGACAACATAAACCCTAAATTTATAAAAATTCTGCTGCCAAAAATCCTGCCATACATAACCTATACCTTTAATACTGCACTGACAAAATCTACTTATCCGGACTGTTGGAAAGCGGCAAAAATAATTCCGATTCCCAAATCAAATAATGAGTACAGACCCATCTCCATTTTACCATACCTATCAAAGGTATTTGAGAATCTCATGGCTGATCAAATTAATAAATTTATGTCCGACAATGCAATGCTTACTAATAACACTAACCATACAACATATAGACTGGTCATTTCATACGACGCATTTGGACACAAAAATTCGGACCGCGGAAGGTCCACCGCTCTCACAGCAGCAGGTCCATGCACTTCGTGTGCGTTCGGGTTTTTTACTCTCTCATTCTTATTCTCATTTTTATGCTCGCGCACTCATTGCACGAGTTCAGTCGTTCAGTCGCAGAGAGGCGCTTTTTGAAGAAGGCTGCCCTGCGCTTGAATTCGTCTTTGTATGTATGCGTGATCATGCATTCTCATACACGGGAGCATGTGTGCGTTTATTTCATTTCGGCGCATCAAGAATATTTTGTCTTTTGCCACTTTTCAAACTTGGTACCCTAAGAATATGGGCGTATTTACTATTGGGTTATGATTTAAATAATATATATATAAATTGGTTATGGCCTCCATTCCTTTGCCTTTTATAGCCCAGTCGCACAGAGCCCATCCAAGTGAAACGGCTGGGATTTTTAGATGTGAAACCCGTGTTTCGACAGAGCAAACATTCGCGTTCCACAACCTCCATTCAAAAACAGACATTAACAATCACTGTTAAATTTTTGAAATAAATTTTTAATTTTTTGTTAAAAAAAAACTAATTCTCCTCTCTCATATTTTATGAAATGCTGAATGTTTAAATTATGGCTTACATATATGTTATATCGCATATAAATTTCTGCCTGGGAGAACGTCAACCTCCCAAACCCCATTTTTCAATTACATCTCTGGTTCACAGATATTAAGAAGGTGGACATGAAAATTTAAAAATTTCAAATTCGCGTCATGGTTTTAGGTCTGCACAAAAAATACGTCGGCTAGGTAATGACCAGAAACGAGCGGTAAGGAACGTTAAGTGTCCATCTAGGACTAACTGGGAAATTTTTGGCGCGTGGATGGTGCTCTGTGCCACAAATTTTATTGCGGGTAGCTCGTTAAGGATTGCCATAGTCCAAGTCAGAAATCTCCGCCGCGGTTCAATTTTAAGGAATTACTGTGCGGCCCAATTATGCTCGCTATTTGATGAAAACCCTAAAAGACCAGTCCCTCGGAACCCATATAAGCGAAACGCCTGGGATTTTTTATGGTTTGCGAATTGGTGTTCCCACAGAGCCACCTTCCACCATCCGCCATCCATCAAAACCCACAGTGGCATATGCAGAATTTTCGAGGAGGTCTTTAACTCAATCAAATTTTTTTAAAGTAATTTTTCCGGCTTTTATTTTATTTAAATGCTATGGTTTAGTGGTGAAATGGCTATTTGCTTATATATACCTTGTACTCAAATTGATGGCTGGGGGAGCGTTAACCTCCCAAGAGAAGTATCCTACTTCTCTTCACTGACTACATGTATTAGTTTGTATATTTCCATTATATAAAAGAATAATCAGCTGTTATATAGTTGCCAAACTGGCAACTCTGCAAAATGTTAAATATCGGTACTGATCGCACCTACTCAGCAGCTCTGAACTTGCCAACCAGCGACAACGAGGCAGAACACGCAGCACGGCTGAATAACGTGGACTCCGGGATTCGCGGAACTCGTCCACTGGTCCAAGAAGTCAAGCAAACAGTAGTCGGTGAAAACTTCAACGAAGCAGTTGGCTAAAAAATACCAAACACCGATTAAAGTGTCGATAAGTGGCGCTGATATCGATGTCAACAAGGGTGTTAAGCAACGGCAAATGATAGATGTAAGCAAAGGACTTCAGTGGACAAACATTTCACATTCTTTCGCCAAAGAAATCATTATGGACTATGATGGATCGTCGTGCGCAAGCATTTGGACTCAGCAAGTACAAAACATTGCTGAAATGTACAACCTGAATGCAGTGTGCGTGAAAATAGTGATTGTGTCCAAACTGAAGGGCATCGCCCAGCGTTGGTTGCACTCAAATGCAACGCGCATCATAGAGCCAGTAGAAAATCTGTTGGAACAACTGATTTTAGCATTCAGCGATAAATTTTCTAAAGCAGAAGTGGTAACTGCAACGCCAGAGGACACACCGCCAAGGATTGTCGAAAGCAAGCGAGGGAGCCAGAATCTTGCTATGGTTGTGGCAAAGAAAAAAAAACGGCAAATGTACAAATGCTTCTAGGAATCGAAGATTTTGAAACCGAAATACTGAACATTGACTTTACAAACGATGAAATCATCAAATCAAAAGAACAACTTATCAAATACAATGTCGATTCTTAAAAATAATAGAAAACAGCTATGTATGTTTAAGCAATTATATTCCCTTTTCGAAGTAGACGAACAATTTAACCTTTTACAAACAACCTTTTACAACCTTTATTTGTTATTTATATAACTGTCTCGTACCTGTTCATAGCAAAGTTATTCGTTTTCCTGAATTACCATTGTTTCAAAGAAACATCAAAGACGCAATATTACAGCGTGACGGGACCTATAATAAGTGGAGAAGGTACAGGACCCCTCCAGCTTACGCGGTGTTCAAGTGACCCAACTTACTGATACCGCCAAGACAAATTTTTATTCCCGTAAACTCACGACGCATCTTCCACAAGATATA